AACAAAAAATAATAAAAGAAGAAGTCTGAGTTGGTCAGGAGCTGGAATAAAAAGGGAGATGAGGGACAATATGGTGGAGCAAGAGACTGAGTTGGAGAGAGAGGACAGAAAAAAGAAAGAAATTTTAGGGTGGAATGAGGAAAAAAGAAAAAAGAGAGAGAAAAAAAAGAATTTGAAGGTCCTCTTTCAGGCTGTCTCTGATCTCATATTATACCACATGCACAGCCATATGCAAAACCAAATCGCCTGGTCTCAGCTAGCCAATGGCTGTTCCCCACGACTGAGAGTGAACACAATCTACAAGGCCTAACTTTAGTTTCCTTACCCTCAGGGTTGAACTCCACTCAGTTCTATTACAGGTTTCCCCTGCCCTTTCTTTAAAGATGTTCAAAGTTGGGAGCTCAGAAAACTACCCTTCATGAGAACCTATGCCTCTGCAGAATTGGTCTAAGGACTGGCCCAATCAGGAGCTTTGAGAACGGGGGGGGAGGTCGTGGGTGTGTTCCAAGGGCACCCGCGCGGCTACCTTCCTTCATGGGTCTGTTGTTGAGCAGGCCAGGAGGTCGCGTGCCCACTGCCAGGCAATCTCAGGCGGCAGACAGTTTAAGAGACCCCCTCCGGGGTCTTTGGGGCCTTCCTGGGTCTGTTGTCCCACAGGCCAGGAGGTCGCACACCCGCTGCCAGGCAATCTCAGGCAGGCAGGCAGCTGAAGAGCTATCTCATGTTTTTAAAAAGCTTCTGCACTGCAACAGAAATCACTCACAGTGCTAAGAGACAACGTACAGTGTGGAAAATTTTTTTTACCACCTGTTCCTCAAAGGGCTACTATCTAGAATATATAAAAGGCAAAAAACCCCAAAAAACAAAAAAACACACGCTCCCCCAAATTAAAAAATAGGCATCTGAAATGAACAGACTTTTTTCAAACAAGTAAAAGCAGCAAATAAACATAAGAAAAAATGTTCAACATCCCTGGTCATTCAATATATGCAGATGAAAATAACATTGAGATTCTACCTCACCCCACAAAGAATGGCTGCTATCAAGAGATTATCCAAAAACAAATGCTAGAAGAGTTGTGGGGAGAAAGGAACTCTTCTGCATTGTTGGTGGGAGTGCGGAAAGGTGCAACCACTGTGGAAGTCAATAAGGAGAAACTTAAACAACTAGGATTAGAATTTCCACTTGACCTAGCTATTGCCTTGCTGAGTATCTTCCCAAAAGAATTAAAAGAATCATACCACTGAAATATATGCTCACCTATGTTTATAGTGGCACAGTTTGTAATAGTTAAAACTTGGAAACAACCTAATTGCCCATGAACTGGACACTGGATAAAGAAACTGTGTGTGTTTTTTTTTTAATAAAATGAAATACAACTCAGCCATAAAGAATGAGAAACTACAGTCATTTATAAATAAGTGGATGCACACTGAGTACATACTCAAGTGGAGTTCATAGGACACACTTGTGCAAATACTGAATAGTTTCTTTGGTGTGATAAACTAAAAGTGCAAATAAGGATCAAAGTGTATAATTGATATTGTGTCATAGGAAAAAAAGTCTAAAGCTGTAGGGGAAGTTGGAGTAGGGGAAAGGTAAGAAGGGAAAAGAAAAAATAAAGGAAAATGGAAACAATATTTTTATAAATAAAGAAAGGTGGAGGTGGTGAAGGGAGGCCAGTGGAATGAGGAAAAAGCAAGTATCAAGATATATCATGTAAATTTTCAAGATCTCAATGATGAATGTAACTATATTGTATACCTAAAATGTACCCATAAATAATAAAAAAACGTCATGCCATGCTAAATGCTTCATATGGAAACAATTGTTTCAATCTCTTCCAAGGATCAAGGTTGAGACATATTTAATTTTCTGTCTGTTTTGTCTAGGCTAAATTTTTTTATACACCCCCCCCACACACACACTATCTAAATCCTCAGCAAATTCTTCTATCAATATCTCTATCAGTATCCCAAAGCCCAATATACAGTGTTTCTCAAAATCAAAGTGCTGTTAGTAGGAGCTCTAGGCAATGGCCTTCTCCAGATGAGGAATGGTCTTACCCACCTAAATGGAGTTCAGTCTCCCTACTGTATCTCAGATGTCAGGTTTTATTTGGCATTTTAAATAGATGTTATTTTAAACAATTTTATCAATTTTATGTGTTATATAGCCAGAAGGATTTTATGAATTTGAATGTGTTATATTGACAGATACGAAATCATACACAGTATTTTGTCAAGTGTAGTATCATCCTACACACCAGTGGATACATTTTTTTACCTAATAAATAGTCAATATTTTCTATTATGTAGTTTTTTTTTGGTACTGGGGATTGAACTCAGGTCCTTCTGCTTGCAAGGCAGGCCACCAAACCGCTGAGCTAAATCCCCAGCCCCATCTATTATGCAGTTTTTGATAACAGGAGACTGTGAGGATTTTTACTATCTAGAAATATAAGAAAAATAACATAACAAATATCTTTAATTTGCTTTATTTCATCATCTATTTGAATTAAGTTTATTATGTTCTGGTTTGATTTAAAGTCCTTTCAATGTAAAGATGCATAAGAGATTACACAGAATAAAGAAGCATATTTTCCTTTTTTATTTTTGTTTTTTGAGATTTAAAAGTCTATGCACACTTGCAATCATAGCACCTGATTTCAAGACCTGCCTTTGTTTTTCTGTTGAAAATTTCCTTTTACTGAATTTTTCCTAGTGCATCAACCATGATTTATAAATGGCACATAATTGATAATATAAATTTATAAACAACATTAATTATCCATATCCAATATACTCATCAGGAGGAAGAATGTCATGTTTCTATAGTTATTCATTCACCAATAAACATACATTGAAAGTCTGAAGGGCAAATGCTGAAGATTCTCATATGTGTATTTTGCTGTAGATCTCTACTTATTGGTGATGTTATAATAGTCTTAACTGTGAACTCAAAGTAATTTAGTGTCAATATTTCTACATTTATTATGATTAATGTGAAAGAGTGAATCTGTTCATTTTATACATAATGTATTCAATTTATCTTACCATACTGTACAAAATTTATATAGAGCTAAAATCTATGATGTCCACATGGATGTAACATGGCGAAACAGTAGTTTTCTCATAGCCCCTTGCATTTTCTGATTTCTCAGGGTGTAAATAATAGGATTGAGTAAGGGTGTGATAACAGTGTAAAATACGGCAAGGATTTTATTGCTTGCAAAACTGCTGAATGGCCAAACATAGATAAAGATACAGGGTCCAAAGGCCACAAGGACCACAATGATGTGGGCAGACAATGTGGAGAGAGCCTTGGAGATCCCTCCAGATGATCTTTGTTGGACAGTGACTAGGATAACCGTGTAAGAGATAAGCAACATGATGAAAGAGACAAAAGAGAGCAACCCACTGTCAGCAATGACAAAATAATTCCAGGGTATATGTTTCAACACAAGCCAGCCTGATAACTAGCGGAAGGTCACAGAATATGCTGTCTACGACATTGTAACAACAGAAGGGCAAGTTCACTATTAACACCATCTGGCTCATGGTGTGTATAAAACCAACTGTCCATGAAAGTATCACAAACCCACTGAGCAACCTCTGGCTCATGATGGTCCTATAGTGCAGGGGTTTACATATGGCTGTGTATCTGTCAAAGGCCATGACTATCAAAAGAGTCATCTCAGCACCACCAAAGTAATGTATGAAGAACATTTGGGCCATGCAGCCCCATACCGAGATAGTTTTGTGTTCAGTGAGCAAGTCTTTGATTATCTTGGGTGTTGTGGCAGTGGAGAGGCACATGTCCAAAAAGGAGAGGTTTCCAAGGAGGAAGTACATGGGAGAATGAAGGGTGGAACTCAATGTCACTGTGAGTATAACGAGAATGTTTCCTACCACAGTAGCCCCGTAGATCAAGGAAAATGCCATGAAGATGAAAATTTGAAGTTCCCATTGTCCAGAAAATCCTGATAAAATAAACTCAGTCACATCGGATCCATTTTTACAGTCCATTTACCCAAATCAGAAAGATTCCATAAGTTCTTTATATTTAAAACATGTTAGAAATCAGCCACACCTAACACAAATATTGTCTTTTTTCTTTAGTTGATGCTAATAACAGCTGATGATCACAGAACATGAAATTTTTTAAAGTATATAAACACAAAGTATTTATAATTTGGCACTGTTTTATGCATGATTTTCAAGCAATGTTTTTACATAGGATATTTGGAAGCATTTAAGAGTGGAAATTCTGCTTTCTCCTTTTTTCTTCTATCGAATGACTTATCAGTCGATCTTGGCTTTGCACTGAATTTGTTCACATAGGTTATACAGTAGTCAATTACTATTAATTTTGTCTTTATCTTTATTATCTTCTGTATCTGTCACTCCTTGACATAATGTTGTTTCAGTATCTAAGGAATACAGAATTGTAAAAATTTTACATTGTTTTGTATCTCAACAACAATTTACGAAGGTGATTTGATGGTTCTTAAAAAATAAGTACACACACTAATTAAGAGTGAATTTTTACATGAAAGGAAACCTACATTCATTAAAGTAGTTTTTACTTTTACATTCTTTTGTATAATTCTCATATTCTTAGTATGAATTCAGCTAAAAGACCAGTTTCAGATATTTTTGAGTTTGCTTTCTCAAATCCATTGTATCACCATTGTTCTCACTGAGAAACCTGTGTGGTGTGTATGTGTATGCGTGTGGAGGTTTAGAAATAAGTACAACTCCGTCTATGCATATATTTTACTAATGTATAAAATGAAGTCATCTTTTGAGGGAATTTTAGATATTGTTGATGGGATATAGAGTTACAGTAGCGATCAATAGCAAGTGACTCTATTTTAACCATTTCATGCACATTAAGGAAGGTAGTACTCATAACAAGCCCACAACATATGTAGAAATATTGTACTTATGTCACATCACAAATTATAACTTTGAAAAATTGGATGATTACTTCATGGTTACCCAGGTAATATGGATCCGTTTTGGTATTTAAGCCAATGAGTCTGATAACATAATCTGAGAGTTTACCAACATATCCTATGGTCACCAAAATTGACAGTACATATTAGCCAAAGTCTTAAATATTCATTGAAATTTTATGTTTTGTATAAATTCTATATGGAGTATGATAAAACAAGCATGTTAGAATTCATTTGGAAACGATTTTAGGTGCTTTTTCTTCTCATTCAGTTTGAGTGTGCTTTAGAGACATTACAATCCAGAGAGACACGAATATCCAATGGAATATATCCAATAAATGGTTTGAGAAAACATTTCACTTAATACAGGGTGTGGGCATCATGTAAAAATGATAAAAGAATGGAGAATAAATCCAAGTGACACTTTCAGATAAAACTTGAGGCTCTGATGTTATCTTCAAAACACTTAAAATATAAAAGTATCTTTACTGTCAGCAAAGAAGGATGAAGTACATAGAATGAAAATTGGGAGAATCGAAAAATTAAAAGCAACAAATCAGAAAGGTGGAGTATTTAGAAATGAAATTGAATCAAGATATAAAGAAATAGTAACTGCTTCCTCTTTTGTCCAATAACCTATACATTTCTCCTTGTTTTCAACTTTTATTCAGATTTCTGAAAAATATCTTGTCATCATTATCCAAGATCTCTCAATTGTTTTCCTATCTTTGATATTTTAAATAAATGTATAATGCTTACAAGTTATAGTGTAACAATAAAATGGCAAATTACAGTTCGTACAGCTCAGCCTTCAAGAGCACACTGTGGGCCCTGGTGGGACACACAGGGAAAACCACACAGCATGCCTGTTTGGTGGGGTTATGTGATATGCTCATGGTAGGAGTGAGCTAGAATGTTTCTATTCAGACTTATGTGATAATAATTTCAATCATGAGATACAGTGTGGAAAACTGACAAGAGTTCGGAATTGTTAAAATGAATATGCCGGCTAAAATTCATGGATGAACTTTTGCTGCATGGAATTTCATGTCCTGTTATATAACATAAGTTTTTGGTTAACAAAATGAACAACAATGGGACATAAATGCATTAAGTAAGCCTTACTTTAGCATTTCATTTTACTTCAGAGGGAAGGATGGCATCTATTTAAATTTATAATTTTCCAGCATTTCCTTCTTTATTCTTCTTACCCTTTTCTAAGCACGTTTGTTAAAATTATTTCCTTAGGCCTACATTTAAGACATCTCTTTATGAGTGTACAAACCAGTGTCCAAGAAAAACAAATTGTAAAATATAGACCCCACATCTATTTGTAAGGATAAATTCCCCCATGAATAATCAGTTAAATATTTTGATTATTTTTATCCAACATTTTATCATGTTCTCTGGAGGAATTTGAAGGTATAATAATAATACTATAGGAGATTTCAAGGGAAATTTGTTACAATTCTTCACATCTTGTTTAAAAACGTAGAAGTCAGAAAACATAATCAATTTGATCTTCCTACATCTTAGAGGCAGGGCCACCCCACAGTGATGTGATGAGTATTAGCTGGGATGGTGTGGGTCTAAGCTCCCAGAGCAGCAAATTTGAGCTTGGAGGAAGCATGTATTCGATCCAAGATTACAATCCTGAGAATTTTCCCACTATAAAAGGAATGAGCCAAGTTGTGTTTTATTACAGAACCTGACATGAACATTTGTGCTCTGGCTTATGTGCATGAATTGTAAATTACTAAACATAAAAATAATTGATTCAAGTAAATATTTGCTTCTCTTTCTTTTTGAAATTTATTTTATTTGTACAATTTAAGCATACAATATAATGACATTCATCATTCAAAATTTGCAGCTTTACATAACATATCTTGGTTTTTATGTTTTCCTCATTCCCCTGCCCTCCCTTCAACCCCTCCACCCCTCCTTATTTACAAAGACTTTTTTTTTCCCCATTTTTTCCTTTTCTCATGTTAGTACCATTCCATTCTTTCCTTTCCCCAACCACTCCTGCTGGCCCTTTGGACCTTTTCTTCCAGCCCAATTGCCCATCAACTGGAGATTGGATAAATAATTTTTTTAATTAAATGGAACACTACTCAGTCATAAAGAATGAGAAATTAAAGATATTTATAGCTAAAGGGATGCACATTGAGGCCGAACTCTTAAGTGAAGTAAGAGGACAGAGCTGAGTAAACACCAAATAGATTCTCTGGTGTGAGAAATTGAAAGTGTAAATAAGGTTCAAAATGCATAATAGATAGTGCTTCATCTTTCCTTATTGCCAGTTGAAGGAAACAGTTTTAATTTTGGATCATTTTGTTTAGCAAGTTATACATATTTATGGTAAAAAAATTAACATCAAAAACATGCTTAAGGAGTCTGACCTCCAAACCATATGTTTGTAATTCTACTTATACAAAAGGTCTACGAAGGTAAATATATAAAGATAAAAAGTTTATTAATGCTTGTAAAATAAATGTCTCCGTGTAGCCACAAAGATTTGTTTTTGTTTTCTATGATGCAATGATTTTAAATAATATCGAAATCATGCACAAGTATGTAAATGTAACTGCAATCTTTTAGATGTGCATTCCACACATATGAATTTTATAGTGTATTATTTATATTCAGTAAAACCCTAATTTACATTTTTATCTTAAATTAAAACTACCTGATATACTTTAATTTGATATTTCAAAATGTGGATTTCTAGTACTCTCTGTTTCCTTGTATTTAAATGTATTTCATTTAGAGATAATCAAGTACATGCAGCAAATCACATCCAAAGTAGTCTTAAAAACTTCTTTGAGCCTCTAATTTGAATTTGTAATTTTGGCTGCTTTGTACCTGGAGCCTTGAAACTCTTTTTTTTTCAAGTAGAATACTCAAAATGAGATTCCTGAGTTATGTGTGGTTTCGTCATTTCTTTGTACTTGAACATCTTCTAAGACGTCCTTTTTTACTCCTCTCAGATGGGATTTCTGTTTACGGTTAGGTAGTAAGTTTCAGGCAGATATTGTTTAACATTAAGTATTGCTCCAGAATTCCCTTTTTCCACCTCATTCTCCAGCTGTTTGTATGTGTTTATTCACATGTCTGTCAACTTGTGAAACTTGAGAAAAAGAAAAGTGTACCCAATGTTCAAAACATATGAGATTCTCACCTTTTTATCATTTCCAATGTGGTAGGAGTTTTCTGGATAATAAGGATTACTCTTTGTTTTTGAACTTACCCATAATTTAATGTCAAATTTCATTCTATAATATAATTTTGAGAATGTACTCCCTCTCAGTTTTTCCTGAAATTTTTGATTCCATATAATTGCAAAACACAGACTTGGTGCCACAGAAACCATCTTTTGCTTCTGGCAAACACAAAATTAATTTAAATACCATCCTCATTACATTAAATTTGTAATGAGTAAACTCTCTATAATACTTTCACTCACCTTTTCTAAAGGCCTTTGTGGGGATCAAAATACTCAAATGCTTATTCAAAGATGAAAATCTGCTTTGATTCACTGTGATGCTCTCTATAAAATTCTACATGAGGTTTTCTGTCCCTTGAAAGCATTGAAGGGCAGACTCGCTGGAGCTCTGGGAATTCAAATTCCAGTGGGCACTATTCAAACACTAAGGCTGCTGTCCCAGGATGACCAGGAAAGATGTTTGTTCTCATTTCTGTACTTGCAGTAAGCTCTAGTTCTCTGTGGGCTGTGCCTTGGTTAAAATAGGAGCTTCTTAATTGATCATTACTCCGAAACTATCCTCTGACTAACCTCCAATCAACATAAAATTTTTCAATACATTTTCTCTCTAATTTTTAAAAAGTATTTTTTATGGATGCTTATAAACTTTACAAAATTTTGGGTTTCAATGTGGTATTTTCATTTAGGCACATAACATATTTTGGTCATTTCTTTTTTTTTCATTCTGTTCATTGGTACATTTTAGGTATAAAGTACAATTGCATTCAGAATTGGGATCTCTTTCCTTTACATGATGTATCTTGGTACTTCTTTTTTCCCCATTTCCTTGCCCTTCATTC